GGGGGGGGGGGGTAAGAACGTGCCACTGCATGATCCGGCAACCTCTGCCTGCTTAAAGCCATTTTAAAGAAAGAAGTCGTAGAGATCAACGAGTTTCTGCTCCAAAAGTCATGGTCTTCATGTTTGCAACTCTTCCCAACATTTATTTTTTTAAAGAAATCAAGAATTCACAGAATCATAGGATGGTTTGGCGTGGAAGGGATCTTAAAGATCATCTAGCTCCAAGATGATTGCTTAAAACACAAAATATTCATGTCGGTGTAAGTAATTTCAGAGTTACCGTGGCGGTAGGGGAGAGTCTGAAGGGTGGTGATAAGACATCGGATTCAAGTCCATCCCTTTAGTCAAACACTAGGAAATCACACTCCTTGCCTTTTCCTTTGCAGACTTGCTTAATTACAGCCAAGTACACTCTTCGAGAAGAAAATGTGAAGAGTATAGACAAATTATCTGCAGGATTTCAATTTATCTCACCAGCTTGGTCTGGGTGAGCGTTATGACAGCACCCAAACCACCCCAGAGCAGTGCACCATTTACAAGATCTTTAAAGAGTGGGAGTGCTTTAGGGTTTTGGTGCTTTGTTATTCTACATTTAGAGCAGGGAGGGAAATTGTATATTTAAAACCGATTTATTTTCCCTCTGTATTACCATCAACAAAAGTACAAGCGCAAACTGTAGCAGTTGTACTTAAACCTGATGGAGTTTTCTAGCTTTATTAGAGCACTACAAAGTGTTTCAGCTTTCAGGAATCCATGCTGGGGGAAACGTAATTAAGGTGGATTTTTTCAAAACTGCTGATTTTACTTTTGACCAGAAAATTGAGCTAAAATTTGGGAAAGTCGAACTTCTAGTTTTGAGGTGGGAAGAAAAGGACATAAAGTTGTTTGACATGTCCCTTAAATGAAAGAATAAAGTCACTGCAGAAACAGACTGAGCTATACGGAGGTGAAACTCCTCCCGTAGGGGTAGTTCTACAAACACAAATATGCTTTTATCACTATAATAATCTTTAAAACGTCGGGCTCGCACGTCAAGAGCTTTAAGTGAATCAAATTGTTGAGTGAATCACTTTTGACAGGAAGCCTAAACTGTATTTATTTATGAGAAAACTTCACAAGCGAAGGGAGAATTATAAGAGCCCCTCAACTTGAGCGTAGCAGAGTTATAAATACTTTAATAGCCCCCTTGCACAGAAATCGGGTAACAGTTACAAAATGCTGTACGCAGGTTTGAAATTGATGTTATTCAAAAGCTTGTAACAGGCAAAATATCTTCAATTCTGGTGCAGAACACAAACTTTCCCAAGGGCTGTGAAGCCAAACGATCCGGTGCTCTGCTCCAGGAATCTCAGGTCCAAGGCAAACCCCTGGGCTGTGAAGGCTTGTGCCAGGCTACACGGTTGGTTTCTGGGGAGGGCAGGTGTCTGAAACCATCACTTAGGAATTTATTCCAAATTCCAGATGTCTGAGTATCCTTTTTTTTGTTGTTTTACAAAAGCAACACTAACTGTACCTGGTACTCTCTCCAGTTTGCAACAGAGAATTAATTTGGATCCCAGAATCCCTACCATTATTTTTACAGGCTATCCAACACCATCCTAATTTAGGTCTTCATACAGAGTTTGCTAACGCTGTTATTTTTACTTTTTCATTGGAATTTCTATTGTCATAAAATCCTCAGCCAGTGTTACTTCTTGACCATCTAACACCGACTCTGCCTGTCTCTTCAGATCGGTGATGTCCAACTCTCCCTCACCTCTCTGAGCAGCTGGTTTATACCTCTGACTGAAGTGAGTCAAAACCAGTTTTTTAACTTTACACAATTTTGCAAAATCCGCTGCCATTTTTGGAGTGCTATGACCATGTTCTCTGGCTTTTTCTTCTTGGGTGTCATCCAGCGTGGCTTCATGTATCAGTACATCTGCCTCACAGCAAAGCTTCGCGGCCGCATCTCCGACCACTCCTGAACAGTCCCCCAAAATGCAAATTTTTCTTCCAGGAATTGGAGCTTCTAAGACATCAGAAGGAGAAATTGTTACTCCATTTTCTAGAACAACCGCAGTTCCATTCTTCAGTTTTCCGTATAAAGGGCCTGGTTGAACTCCTGGTAAATAAAGGCAAAAAAGCCCATAAGCATTATGATGAATGTTAGGTTTAAAAAAAAAAATCACTTAGGAAGAGATACACTATATATTGAGCTGTCTCACTGAAAAAAACATCACCTCGATATAAAGAGTAATTGATATTTCACATATTTCATACAAATAAAGAGCTCGTAATGTTAGCAGGAAGTGTGTTTGAAGAAAAACTGTTCTTCACGTTAAAGTCAATGAAGTCATGCAAATACACTGGCCATGCATTTCCCTGAAAGCCACGTTGCGCTTCTTGAACTTCAACATCTGAATTTGTTTGCTCTTCCCAGGACGAGAATAGTCTGCAATATTAATCGGCGCTCATGTTCTACACCAGTTCAGACTGCTGCATTGGCATGAAGTATTAAAATGTCTTTAATAGCAAATGGAAAATTGAATTAAAATGGATTATGGAGAGAGTCAGCAGCTCTAATTCGCTAGAACCCCTAGAGAGGCAGTCATAAAAAGATTTCAGCTGCCTGCAGACCCTGTTTTGTTATATTTGCTGAAAATCAGTCACTACTCAGCTTGAACGCATGCATTTAGGCATTTCAAAAGAGGAAAAATAATAAGTCAAAATAGTTACCAAGGTCCTTTAGTTTCTGTACGTTGAGTTTACCGGTCCGGGGCTTCTCTTCCATCACGAAGCCAAAGGAAGGAATGCGGTGAAACAGGCGAAATGCTTTCAGAACCAGTTGCTCATCCTCAACCAGTAAGTAAGAGTTTTCTACTGGATCTAGGTGGAGTATTCTCCCTTGTACTCCCTGGGGAGATACCTCATCTCTGTCCAAATCAGAAAACTCTTTAAATTCTTCTGCGGGGCACTGGTCCCGCGTAGGTACCAGCTCATGGACGGTGTAGGGAAAGAGAAGTTGGGAGTGGGAGAGCTCCATACTCCTCCATATGAAGTTTCGCAATCCGAATGGTCCATAAATATCAACAGGTGGTTTGTTTGGGTCAGGGCTACTTTGGAGACTAAGTGTACACAGCAGGCCAGGAAGTCCAAAAAAGTGGTCACCGTGAAGATGAGTTATGAAAATCTTGGTAATTCTACCTATTGATCAGAACATCAGGGAAAAAAACAAACAAACAAAAAAAAAAACAAACAAGAAGACAGGAAAATAAATGAATACCGTTAACACCTCAGAAATAATCACTTTTTGCCAAGAAGTAGGAAATATGAAGGGAGGGAAATTAAAGTTAAACCAGTGTTTAAGAAATAAATCCCAAACCACAAAGTGTGTTTCTTCCACAGTAGCGTTAAGTTTCCACGCAAGGTTTATTTTGGCTTGATTGGTGAAGAGAAGACTTGCCGAGACAGAAGGTTTAATTGCTTCTAAGCAAAATGTGCTACAAGCACGGAACAGAATCAACTGGTGACATCTGCCATATTAAAACGCAAAGAAATGCTGGGAAGTGGTTGCGCTTCCATATATTCCATGGAAACTGTAGACTCATGAAACACATAAAGTGGAATTTGTGTTGTTCCTAGTTTTGAATTTCGCACATGAAGTGATTGTAAATAAAAAAGAAAAAGCATCCAGGTTTGATTTCAAGAACCAAGAACCCCACGGTTCCTGACTGGTTTGTTTCAAACAGATGAAAAATTGCACTTAAAAGATTTGGGCTTTGGTGTCTCACTCCAGCTCTCAGGCACTGGGCCCTGCCCTTGCTGGATGAAAAAAGCCCAGAATTTTCTCTCCCAAGAGACAGTCAGGCTGCCTCCGTCTCCTCTGCTAGCTGAGTTCTCACTTCCTCACAGCAAGGCATCTGTTAGGACCGAGCAATAGGACGGACAGAACCCCTTTGTTTTAAGAACAATTTAGTCAAACCCAGTAAATTTAGTAAAAGTTAGTCTGTTCACTTGGTCATTAAATCCCCTGATAGATTCAGATTTTGAGGGAGCGGGTTGGTTTTCTGTTTGTAACTGATAATTTCATCGTTATAACTTGAGAGCAATGCCACTGTAGACTGCAAAAGCGACTGAAGACAAACCTGGTTTCTACTATATTTGCCAAAACGTAGAAGTTACCGCTAATGCACGCAACATTAACACAAAAGCACAATATTTATTGGCAGGAAGACTCCCAGCAGGTATTGTCTAGAGCTATCTTCAGACAAATACAAACTGTGCCAGTTTAAAGCTGGTCTCTGGTCCGCTTTTGAAATCAGAAAGCCCAAGACATTAATTCAGGAGAGTTTGGTTCTTGAACACAATTCTTTCCCAAAGGGCAATCAAGGATTATTGCACAGCAGGTTCAGCAGCTGCCACCCATACGCAGATGCTCATGCCTGTTTAGTATGTATTCAAATACCATGAGCACCAGGACAAAGTATTTTGTTTAGCTCTCACGCAACTTTTCCCCTTCCCTCATCACAATCGCTCTCAAACAGCACAAACCTGCTCTGAGATGGCTCTTCATGAACTGCGTTTGAGTTCCCTCCCCGCAGTCGAAGAGCCAGCACTCTCCTTCCCTGCGAAGCACTAACGCCGACGCTCCTCTCGTTGGAGAGGGATAGGCTGAGCCTGTGCCGAGGAAAGTTACATCCATCGACATTTTCAGTGTGTCAGGATCCACCTGAAAGAGAGATTTTTGACCCGCTGAATACGCTGGGAAAGAAACAAAACGGTTTTGCTTTAAATGAAGGCATCCTTTGTACTTTAGTGTGAGGATCAAATTGCCTTTCCCTTACAACATAAAACTTCCCTGGAGTAGGATATTCAGACAACACAATTTTCACAAGCAGATTTCCTTTTTATGGCGGTGGAAGGGTGGAAACACGCAGCCCAAACGTAAGACATGACCTTTGTTTGTTATCTTAAAGAAATAGCCCTAACCTGTTGAAAATACTCTAATCTATAAACACACAATTCTTTTCTGCTTTATTTAAACTCTGAGTTTCCCTGCATGCGCTTTCCTCTAAAAGCCGTTTCAGAACGACAAACGCCAAACAGCCACTGCTGCCATTTAAACATGAGTGGGCAGCCCAGCGCCACAGAGGGGACAGATTTGCTCCCCTCAACACAACCACAGAGACCCCCAGAGGTAGAAGCGACCTGATTTACTTCACCTTTTCACACCCTTCGAAGCTTGGTTTGACTTCTCATCGGCGCGAAGCGAATTAACTAACCACCGCCATACTTTGACGTAGCCTGAAGGCTGCGTGCCAGCTCCCAGGCCGCCTCTTGTTGCTGAAGGATCTAGAAAACCAGCTGCCGTACCCCAGGTGGTTATGCCCCCGCGATATTCTCCGGGTGAGGAGCGTGGCGGGTCTGCAGGACCTTCCAAAAAGTGCGTTAACATTTCCAAAGCACGGCTCCGCCGCCATCTCGCCTCACGGGTTGTGCTTTCGGGTTCTCCCCAGACTTGGTTCCTACCTTGTTTTCCGACGTGTTTTCACCTCGTTTCAAACTCCAGGCGCCTCAGCAGCTGCGGATACCTTTCAAGCGACAGAATTAGCGTTTTCTCAGGTTTGGCTGCTTTTGGAGGAGCTGCTGCAACTTTATACAGGATTGCTGCCCTCTCCCGCACATCGAGGTGCAACATGGCATTCCCTGACCTGCAGGGGGAAGACAAACACCCACCCCGCTCCCCGCCACCCCGCGCAAAGGCAGAAATAAAACATTTTTCTTCCTTTCCCTCAGTCTAAAAGCAGATTAACACCCTCTCCGCTGAGCTAGCCTCGGGCTTTACACCCTGAGTTTTGTGTCCCCGAGCTGGGCCGCGGCGCCAGCCCTAAGGCCGAGACCTCCCGAGGCCCAACCTCTGCCAAA